CACACCTTTTCGAAGCCTGAGGACAGGCGAGGTGTTCAGCGAAGCCAAAAGGTGTAAAGAGAGCTGGCCTTGATGGTTTTCTTCAAAGGCCAGAGTCATGCATCTTGACGCGCGAATGGAACATTCATTCAAATCTTCAGATCTCCCCTATCCCCTATCCAGGGTATGCTAGAGAAGTGGTGAGGCACTTCGCGATGTGATGTACAAGGGAAGCAGGGTAGGGTTGGGCCAGAAGTGTTAAAAAGACTCCTGACGAGTTCTGACCCTGCAAATGCACGCGTTTGCACTGCGAAGCGGAGCAGAAACCAAAGGAACCTTGACAGAGCTTAAAATCAAAGTTGGGAACCAGCCATCCGAGGAAGGATGTAGCCTTTTTCCAAGGCTTTCCATATTGGACATTTGGAAGAAAGCGCCCTTGCCGATCAGACCGTGCATTTCATGAGTCAACCAGGCACGGCTGGTCTGAGGGTTTTCGATGGTACCCGGAATTTCAAATGTCATGCAGGCAAGGGCCAAATGACAGGTAGACTTTAAAAGTTGGTTGCCCCTTAAGACCTTTTCCCTGTCATGGCGCGTCAAATTTTGGCGTCCAAAGAACAAGTCGTTGTCTCTAAGTGGAGGTGGACCTCCATCCCATTTTCGAGCTAACGACCAACTCTCACAGGGCATTCCGAAGTGCACTACAGAAAAGCCTTGTCTTTTGATGGCTGAGAGGGTCTTTGTGAAAACTTGGGGAGACAAAATGTCTCCATCGGATCCCCAAATATATGTCATAATACGCACGCACATCCAGCAAACAGTTCTAAAGCAGGTTTGAGACCATTCGGATCCATTGGGTTTTTTCGGGATGAAGAGCTTGTGACCATTGCATGCAACAACCCTGGCGATGCCTCTGCTCTCCGTTTGATCGCCGGCGGCAGCTTGTCGTAGAGCTGCGCCACTTTGGCGTGGCTTTCGTACCTTTTCAGGCTGGAATCGGACATCCCCCGACCCCGAAGCTTGATGTCCATGATCGTGCGATTCTGCTTCAGTCGGTCCCAGCTGGCTCCCGAGTGTCGAAGTTGGTGCGGCGCCGCGTAGGTCTCTGGGAGGCCTATCTTTCGAAGTGCAGCTTTCCAGTTGTTGAGGAGTTCTGGGTAGGTGATCCTGAAAAGAGGCTGGTTTGGTTTGGGCATCAACACTGGGCCCAAATACTTCAGCTCTGCGTGTCTAAAAGGATCGATTCGTCGTTCACTCCGGTCTTGCTGCAGTCTGCGGTCTCTGAGGCGTTGAGGTTGAGAGCCCAAGGCGTTCCCCATTGATTGGACTGAACCAAATCGTGAATCCTCAACTTCGTGGCTCCCCCTGGGTATGCCGAGAACATGACCAGGATGCGAAGTGCAGTGGTTTGAAGGCCATCTTCCACATTTCTAAAGCGACCAGGGTGATGAAAGGAAAGGCCAGGGGGGTTCTCTGCGACCCCGGATCCAGATTTCCCCATCCCTTGAGGGAGCGCCTGCACTGCGGCAAAAAACTTTTGAGCTTCTGACAGGTCCAAACCCTCGGTGAAGGCGGTGTTGAGGAAGTCCGCCAAGGCGTTGTCTACCTGACCAGCAGTGGACGTCTTGAGGGCTCCGCAAAACCCTTGAGATAGCAAGGTTCTTCGCTGGTAGTCGTTGGAGGTTTGGGGTGACACTGCAAACTCCTCCAGCCGAGTTTGTCCACGGAACCTTGGTCGAGCTGGGTTCTCCTGGATCCAGGCGCATCGATTCTGTCGACGCTCTTCTGAGGTCTTCCCCTTGATCTTGACGCGGATCTGAGCCATCTTCACTTTGGATGAAGGCGGCACCTCTAGTCGCACCGCTTCCTTCAAGGCATGAATCATTCCTGACCTGGTACCTACGGGGGTAGATGATCTTGTCGATGGTCTTTTTGACGAATCTTTTCGACACCTCGGCGGTTTTGGACTTCTCCTCCATTTGCGCGACGGGCCATCTGCGGCGTTCCACTCTGAGGGAATCCACCTATGAAAAAAATGTGTTCCCATTGCAACACCATATGCAGCAGCACGTCTACAACAAATGAGAAGTGGAAAAACTTTGGCTCTCCCTCTATCAAAAGCTAAAACCATGCCAAGATCGTCTCCCAAAAATGTCTGAGACCAAAATTGTTCTGCGACCGTGCCAAATGCCGAATTCTCTGTAGTGTCGCTCTGCCTTCGAGAAGAGTAATATGTTCACGTGTGTGCATGCGGGTGTTGAACCAAAACTTCCAATCTTTCGAGCAAGCGATGCGTTCTGGAACGTTTTGAAACTCGGCATTGAGTTGAAAGGGATCCTCAAAAACATGTTTGTCCAGCACTGTTTCCACATCCTTAAACGGATCAAGCTTTTGCACCACTTCCCTAGCCTTGACTGCGTGTCGTTGTCAGACTGCAGTGAACAAACAGCGGTACCAGAAAGACATGCGTCAGAAACAGTGATGCGGGGGGTCCCATGGTTTGGCAAGGCGGTCGGATTGGCAGATCATCAAAAGACTCGCCGCCCATCTGCACTCATCGGCTGCTGACCTCCAAAGGCGTTTAGGCTCATGGTAGTGCGCGGTCTTGAAGTCATATACTGATCGGAAAACAGAAAGGAACTTGCGTCTAAGCATCATCATGTGAATGCAGTGGCCTATGACACGCTCAATGACCCTTCCCGTCACCCGCCTGAGTGCTAGACCACCCCGGTCTCTCTTTTCTGGTCTTGGGTCAATTCGGCATTTCTCACCATCAATGATGAACCCGAGCGCCTTGGTCTTCTTGGCCGAGTCCACTTCTTCGTGTACTCGAAAACCGACCTGGCGCAACCGGGCGACTGCATCGTCTTTGAGCTGTTGTACAGCGTGTTTGTCTGCGCCAATGATGTTGAGGTTGTCCGCGTACGGGACTATGACAGGGATGCCTGAAGACAAACTCGGAGCAGGCCTCCCGTCTGCCAGGATCTGCTCGGGCTTGGCTCCGGTCCCCAGCATGATCTGGTGTTGATGGATCCTTTGAGCGAAGTACATCGACCAACTCCAACCCATTGGCGCGACCTTCATTTGGGGGAAACTTCCATGTCATCGGACCAGTCCTTCATCCCCGCGGTCTGAACGCCAGCTTGCGCGGCGAGAAGTCAACATACCCCTCCTCCACAGGTCAAAGACAAAACCATGGTATAGATTTGGGTTAGACCGCAAAACCTCATCCGTGTAGGGTTGCACCTTCTTGGGATGTGACTCATGGTGAAGAAAAATGTGGCCATATGGGTCCTCCAGAAATTCCCGTCCGATGTCATCCAAAAGATCTCCGGCTTCGAAGACCTTGGCCCCGGTTTCCGGTAATGACGCCAGCTCCCTGCAGTAAGACCGCACTGTGCTCCGGACCTCATATTCTTCATAGAATAGGAGGACGGGTGAACAAGCAGAAGCTCATGAACGGCTTCAGCGTCCGAATGGGGGGAAGTGGACACCTGTTGTAAAATGTTTTTGAGCTGCCAGTTGAACGTATGATGCCTCTGAAGGGGAACTTGTTCGCCAACCATTCATCTCATTGAGGGCGTCGATCAGAAGGTTGGACTGTTCAAGATTATGTTTCCTCCTCCGGCGCCTATGCTTGGAGTGAACTGACATAGAGTGTCCGATGTTGGGGCCCGCCTTTGCGTGAATCTTTGGCAATGGAAAAAGGTCCCGCCGTCGCTCAGCAACGGGATATGGATTGCGGGGAACTGAATACCCGGTTTTCCCCATCAGGCTTGAGGGGGTCTCAAAACTTTGACCCTTGGCCTTCATCTCCCGTGCAGATGTAGGGCCAACCGCCCGCGCGGCTTCTGGCTTCATGATTCGTCCGCGGCAGCCTTGCCACGTCCTTTGCTTCCACGTGCTCGGCCACCGCGATTCCGCTGCTCAAACTCTTCACGACGCCTTCCTGGATTCCTTTGCAATGGCAGCTTGATCACGAAGCTGCTCGGAGACATATCCCATGAACAAACTCGCGGAGGTGTAGTCCGGCATCTGTGGTGACAGCCGGTGAGCCTCCTTGATGAGTTGCCATCGTCGAAGCAAGAGTTCCCCCCCTTCAACTTCGGGAGGTTCAGCTGATCTGTCAAGGTTGTGGGTGGACCTTCAAGTTGAAGCTCCCCTCCTGGAACTTTGTCCTGCGACATGGCCGTCACTGCCTCCATGAAGTCGCGACGTCGATCTCCTTGAGGATCAAATCAAATGGGCAACACACGCAGGTCCTTGGCTGTGAAAGTGGACAGCTCTGAATTGTTGATCTTCTTGATTGCCAAAGCTGACCGTCCCTCGTTGATGAGGATCAGGGCCTTGTCGGTCTCAAGGGAGACATGACCTGCGGGAAGCACCATGCCGGGGTTGATCACAATCTGTCCCATGGAGTATGGAGGGAGGTTCTCCAAGGAAATCCAAACCTCTTCTTCAGCGACTGCAACACCTAGACCAGCGGCAGCTACTGGAGCTGCCCCTACGCCGCCAGCTCCAGGAACGGGTAAAGGAGGGAGACCTCTGGCACCACAAATCCCGGCCGCACAGATCCGCGCCTGAGCCATAAGACCGCAGTCAGGGCTCTAAAGCCATATACCCGACCATGGTTGAGCCTGGGCGGGATGGGACTTCCCAAGCCAGGACCGCCATATGTGAAGGCGACCAAGTCTGAGTTTGTCGCTGACATCTCTTCCGATACACATCTTCATCTGGGGCCACTATAGCCCACAGGGCTCCGTCAATCTGGCATCACATGGATAACCTGGGGAACTTCTCCGTAGTCCAGGTAGCAGACGTCTCCCGGTTCATTGCACCCCGTCACGGAGCTGGAGTGGAGAGCCGAAGATGCCTTTTCGTCCCTTACCTTTCGAGACCTCCGGACCTCGAAGATTGGAGAAGACGAAGAGGGCTAATCCCAGGCCAAGGCACACGATAGCCACCAAGGCACCAGTGACCACCAAATCTTTCCAGGTGAAGCCCTTGTCGGGAATTGGTGCAACGCAATGACACTCACAACTACACGGTCTCTCAGAAGGCCTCGACTACCAGTGGCCGTGAGCCCCAAACCTATGCAAGTCACCAAAACCGCCAAAAGCACGAGGGAGTCCATGCGCTCCCGATCCCTCCGAGCTGAGATCCTTGAGATCAAAGCCATCGGCACTTATCGTTCCGTCCGTTAAATCACTCATGCATTCAAAGAATACTTCCATTCGACCTGGCTATTTGTCTGAGCTGTTTTGTTGCTTTGGTAGCTTTGACTGACGTGTAACACTGTTTGTGTTCAAGCACAGCTCCTCCTCAGCGAAACAGAATCCCCAGGAGAATATCAAGCTCCGCAAGGAACATCCAGACTGGGACTCTACTTCTTGAGGCTTGCTGCAAATTGCACCACAAAGACCACAAACTAGGAGCAAAGGGCATCACTACGAGAAGCAAGGACGCTACTAGGGGCTCCTGGCCTTACTACTAGGAGCAAGAAGCTACGGCCCTTTGCTCCTTGTATTCGGGCGATTTGTCGCCTCTGCTGGACATATTTATGTTCTCGCCCATGAAAAGTACTGCGTGCTGAAGATTAAGCGAACATGGATTGCGCATACATTGGACATGTACTGCACATGTTCTTGATGGACACCGTCACTGTGCATTAACCTGGAGTTGGTGACGCACACCTCAGGATTCCACCACAGCAGGTCCAGGTCCAACGACTGCGAGGCAACCTAGTGGAGCTGAAGTGCTTAGAATGCGATGCCCGGCGATGCCCTCCACACGTTGTCTAAGTCTGCCACACTTGCCTCATTTGCTTGCCTTGGTTTGCCGTTCATGGGAACCTCTTTAGAATCAATTGTCAGTCGCCGATTCCATGTACAATCAGGGACAGACAGTTAGAATATAACATCAATAAATTTAGGTATTTAAATTTGGGACCTCCGACATCGACCCTGTATGCGCTTGCACTTAGAATACGGCGCAGATAGAATATACAAAATCAACAATGAAACATCATCAATATACAAATCAATCATACAACGTGCAAGAGATCAAGAAGCAACCGCAATCACACAGAAGACAAACAACAAAGAACAACAAGGTTGAACATCAAATCTGCAGCTACCGGCTGCTCATTTCTTGGCCGTCTCTTCTTCATAAGGCATATTCTAACTGCATTCTTTGTCTAACATAAAAATTCATTAACAATCAAGATAAAATATTCTAACTGCGCTCCGCCCAAAAAATCCAGTATTTAAATTTTTCATATTCTAACTGCGTTTAAATACTTTTAGCATATTCCAACTGTCTGTCCCTGATAGTATATACAATATATAAAGTACAAGTAGTTCCCGGGCAAGCCGGCGGCGGAAGTTTCCTATAAGAACAAATTGACCTATAGGAGTGTCCACGTTCTCTCCAACATGCGCATCCTCCAGTCAAACGCACGCGCTCCGGACTTGTGCCCCCTGCAGGATCAGCAGCTCACAACAGCGTACTGGGTTGTATCTTTGCCACGACAAGAGGGGTGTATGACGAGTGGTGTATATGATGAGTGGTGTATGACGAGTGGTGTATGATGAGTGGTGTATGATGAGTGGTGTATTGACCAGCAGTTGAATGTCCTGTCCTGCATAAATGCAACCAAATACTATCAGTATGAACTGTGCCAAACCTGCACGCCGCGAGAGATGACTCAGCAGCGAGAGATGACTCAGTCGCGAGAGATGACTCACAGCAGCGAGAGCTGACTCAGCAGCGAGAGATGACTCCTCCGCGTACTACACTTGTACTACAAAGTGGCCAGTTCTCAGCTTCCAGCTCCACAGGTTGTTCCGCGTGCTAAAGTTGTACTAGAAAGTCGCCAGTCAGTTCTCATCTTCCAGCTC